TTTGTGCTTCACAGACAAGCCCTAAGACAAACTTCAGTTTGTACACACTTTAAGGAGAGGGCTTTGGACAAGTTGTTGTGTGTACCAAGAGAGACGACTTCCACCTGCATGACCTTGAAGGTTGGCCTATATTTGCCTAATGCATCCCACCAGCCCTTATGATTTCATACGGTATGCTGTTCTGAGCAAATGAATCAGCTCCAGACGCCTACAAGAGCAGATGGGTTGCAGGCAACCAGACTCCAACCCTCCTTCCTCATGTGGTCACGTGGCATTTAGCCGCAGGTGTCCTACATCTGATGAGTCTGGTCAGGAACCTGTCAGGCTTTAACCTGCATCTTCAGACAATGCTGACACAACCACTCTGGACAGAAGTACAGTACACCATTACCATATTAAATTTGTTCAGAACTGTGCTGTACTGATGGTCAACCCATTGTGCCCTGAACACTTTAGTTAGAGAAATGCTTCTTTAAAAAGAATGAATAATTCTAAGTTCACTCTCCCCCGCATTTTTTACACCAAGAAGTTTATCCAGAAGTAAAAACCATAAAAATTCTGACAACCTGGCCACAGCTACTCAGATTTAAACTCCGTATTTTTTACAGGGAAGAGAAAAAAACAGAGGTAACAACCACAGTAGTTAGGATAAAAACTTTCAAGGCACATTTTGGCCATGCTTACCCTGATTCAGCAGGTCACTAGACAGGACTGAGGTGAAGAGTGTAAAAAAAGTGACCTTCACAATAGAGTAACTGGAGCTTCTCATTCTCAGTGGGAAGGTCTACAGCTTTTATCACCATCACCTATTCTAATATTGGTTGTCTGAAAATAAACAGGTCCATTAGCCATGTATCAGTGTTTGCAGTTCTGATCTCTTGGTGCTAAACTACTCTAAAATCAGTTTTGTTCTATCAGTAGTCAAAAAACCCCCCAAAGCTAATGAAGATGCAGGACAAAGAAGCACATTTCTTAAATGATACTAACCTCAGGTAATCTACATCATCTAAACAGACTTGTAAAATGTTCTCCTTTTTTATGACACACCTGGGTTTGGGTATTGATATTTTCACTTAGCTACAGTATCACCTTTTACTTAGAATAGCACCTTTCATCTCAAAATGTGGTCACTCCACCTACCTGTAGGATGAAGGTAACTATCCACAGCGATGAAGAGAAACTATGCAAAGCCACATGAAACATTATGAGAAGAAACTCAAGCAGAACAGCAGGGAAAACCAAAAATTTGGAAGAATCATATTACCTAGATTAGTATCTGGCCAGCAAATTGGGGTTAACATTCTATTCTCACACAGGGACAGAAAAGGACCCTGCTTTTAAATTTCAGTGAACAGATGGTGAAATCCCACTTCCTGCTACTTTCATGCTGGGAAAGTAACTCAATACTGTACCAGCCAGGAGACCGACACCTACGGAGCTGCGAGAACACTTCACATGGAAACGGGCCTCTCCTTGGAGGTCTCCTAACCAGGACCCCTGCCATATTACTAAAGAATAATCACACGCTCAAATTTGAGTTGACTTAGGAAACTACAAACAGAAGCCGATGCAGCATGCCTTCATTAGTCTAACACAAGTGTATATTTTTATGCCTTTATACTCAATTGCAACTGCATTTTAGCAGCCTCCATGATAAGGACAGATTATGTTTGGTGTCGTCATTACCAGCGCAACTAACCAGAGAAAGCCGTTAACAAAGTTATGTTGCAGAAGACATTAGTGAATATCCCACCAGATGCTATTAAAAAAGAAAAAACCAGCCATTTCATTCAGGACTAATGTCATCAGTACACTGATCTCTCAAATTTGCAGTGGTTTGCATCAGCGTCGAAAGAGCAATACGGAGAAGTGCACAGAAGCAGAAATCAAACCTGTGAAACAGACCAACCACGATCTTCCCCTCTGAGAACAGATACAAGCAAACATGTAAACACCAGCAACGTAATGCTCAAAAAAAGCAGCTTTATACATCTCTGAAAAGAATCGGATACAAAGGATTTTGAATACGTCACAAAATAGGTACGCAGGCTTACAAAGACTATTACGGGTTTTAAGGCTCTTACATCTCTTTTCTCCAAGACCAGCCCTGAAAGGCTATGTGGTCTCTTCCATGTAGTAGCTTTAGTAGCTACTAGTAGAATAGCACAAACTTACTTTTGCTGAAATCTTATGGAAATAAAGAAGAAACAAACCTGCAAACCAATTTTGAGGAAAAGAATAACTCTCTTTTAAACTGTGCAAATTTTTTTCTTAAAGGGAAATTTTTTGGAAATACGATGCTCAAACAGAAGTGGCAAAAAGCCAAAGAATAAAGATCATACTGTCGCTGTGCTTCATTTTGTTAAGCAAGTGAAACATTAGAGCCCTCAAATTTTCATCTACTTCATACTTCAGTCGTAGAAAGTGTTACATCAGCATAGTCGCCAGGTAAAGCTGCTAGTTTATTCTAAATGGACTTTCTTCAGACACTGGCACAGATGATGAGTGATTGTCCAATTCTGAAGCTATCAGAACTGAACGGATTTAGCAATGTCATAAACACCTCTCGAGGGAGTCACCTGGTGTTGAGAACTCACTTTACATGCCGTGTTTCAAAATGAGTTTTAATGGATTCACATTAGATTCAAACCCACTTTAGAGCTATTATTTCTCCCTTTCAACCTTTTCACCCACTACCGCAATGTAACACAGCGTATTCCATAATCACATGTTTGCAGGCCCGTGGTAAAGTAAACAAAACTTCAAAGGGTTATTATTTAAAGACTCTGTATTACAGCCGTAGGCCTGACTGTTATTCTTCCTCACCACCCCTTGGGCCCGAAGTACATAATCACCCAGTAATTGAACTGAAATGGCTAAATGGCTAGATCCCCTGAAGGACATAGGTAGTTAGCAGCGAAGAAGGGAAGGGACGTTTAAAAAAACCCAAAAACCTCATGGCATTTTTCTGCACTACCTCGAAATACTATGTAAATGTAACTGACCTGGCCCTGCTAGGCTCCTGCAGAAAGCAGAACAATGCATGGGCGTTTCTGGGGTTGTAACTAAAGTAAAAATTAAAAGTAGAACTGTGCTGTGTTTGGGAGCAAACGTCTTAAATTCAAATCACTTTCAGAAGAATTGAGAAGAAGGAGCAGAAATATACGTTAACATACGCACAAGTATATATAACACAATACTATCGCTAATACCATGTGAAAGCAAACCCCTCTAGGTCCTCATATTTAATAGCCCCTCCAAAAAGTGTAATGGATAGCAGATCCCAGGCTCTCATACACTGTAACTGTCAAAGCACTCAGGAGATAGAGTAGTGAAGGCTCTGACAGCTCTCTGTTACATTCTAAATGACGTCTGCATTCAACAGAACAGAAATAAAGATTAAGGGAAGCACCTGATATGATAGCAGTCAGCTTACCTCAAAATGCAATATTTAAAAAGTACAGAGAAACACAGGTCTGCCTTCTTGTACTGTAAGTAAAAACTGGTGTCAAAGCCTCCGAGGTCTTCGCCGCCGCCAGAAAGGCAAGTGCCGCAGCATCCAACAGACGACAGGGGCAAAAGCCACAGCCCCTGGCTATGTAACTGTTGAAATCGAGAGGTGTTTTGCCTGAGAAGGAAGGGAGGAGACGGTCCTTGAATGCGCACAGAAAATGGCTACGGGTACAGTCACACAGCATAGGAAAATTAACTTGGCCGAAACCTTTGCGGCCTTTCTCATACTTCAGTGATGGGCAGAACGCCCGCCGCTAATTGATGGTGCCCGACCGATTCTGTACCTTTCGCAGTACCTACCTACTGCAAATCTCTTTTAAGAGGTTATTAGTATTACGGCTTCGAATGAAACACGTCAGCATACAGATCACGACAGATGATTTTGAATAGATATTTGCTGGCTGATTATATAAACGATGCCTCTTATTGCTGGAATAACACCTCAAAGGCAATATAATGACGACATGACAATGTATGTAAATCAAGAACTGCATGTGGGTTTATTTTACACTTGAGAAAACAGTGGATTTAATTGTGTGAACCAAAATGTACTGTACAATATTAATGATAAAACATCAAAATGTATAATTCATAGTGCATTGCTTGCTTTATTTTTATTTATTTATTTTTTTTTGTCAGATAGTTCCTTTAAGTACATGCATCTGGAAAGATGCAGGTGCCAGTAAAATTCCTCTATTTATATCAAGCTGCAGGAACTAAATTTTATTCAAAAAGTGTGGTTTTACATTATATACACAGAAATCGAATATAAAATGACAATATAAAAAGTTAAAAGAGAAAGCATACAGCCAGAAGGTACAAAGAAAGTTGAACAGTTTAAAATGGTACGATATGTAACATGTATTTTTTTAAGCTGATGCTGGCAATTTACAAGGAACAGAATCCAACATTTGCCCCATTTTTTTGTTTGTTTTCATTTACCAATGCAGCACACTATAGAAAGGTCAGCTTGTACCAAAGCTTAACATTTGTAAATAACTATAAACTGCAGTATTTTACAGGAAAAAAAAAAAAAAGGAAAGAAAAGAGCGTTTTTACACTTGTTTTAAATAACAGCTTGCATACTTTTTTTTTTTTTTTTTTTTTGCCAAAAAGTGGCAATGCTCAGCATCCAGAGGGTTTGGGCATAGTGGCAACTTGGTTTGCTTTTTTTTTTTAATTATTATTTAACTTATACAGTTGTGGCTTCCTAACCCCTTGAGTACTACACAGCTCTCCTTCTTCCAAGGACTGCATGCACAATTTCTTCACAAACCAGTTCTGCATTAAAAAAAAAAAAAGAAGCTCATTCATTTAAAAAAAATAAGTTCTGTTTCCGACACAGCTTTTATTTGAATGAAATGCCTTTAAGCCTTTAGTTTTGTTTTGTTTTGTTTTTCCTTATTTACTTATTTAGTCACTGGGAAAGGCACAGAAATGCTATTACAGTTCTCAGAGGGTTAAAACTTGACACTACCAGGTTCTGTGACCTTTATTGTCATGGCAACTTTGTAATTTTAGGATGTCTCTTTATCATTGTTCTTTGTGTCTTTCTTTACGGCTAAATTAATGTCTCTCAATAGTGTCTCCCACTATATTCTTCAAAAGATAGCTTAACATCAAGGACAGATGTTGAAAATAAAGGTCAGACTTTGACTCACGAAAAATAAAAACAGAAACAAAAAATAACCATGCACAGATCAGACAAAGAGCATATAAATATAACTACAAAATAAGTGTAAGAAAAACGAAGGTCCAGATAGGCAGTTCAGCAACAAAAGTAAGACTGATTTCAGAGGCTCAGGTCAGGCCTAGTGCAGTACTATGAAGAAGTTTAGTGCAATGTTCCTGTGGTCACTTGCATACCTGGCTGCTTACCTGGACGCTATTGTTTTTCTAACTCAGTTACATAGATCAGATGGTCCTCTGGGGACTTGCCATGTGTTTTACTAAGGTGCAGTTTGACTGCATGCTTGCTTGCAAAAGTTCGGTTACAGAGCTTACACTGGAATGTGGAGCCTAAGTCCTCCTCGGCAATTCCAAGTGAGCCCAAAGTCTTGTTTGCGAGGACTTTTGAAACATTCTGCTGTTCTTGAATCTGATTAAGTGGCAACTTTGACAGATCCTTCAAACTAAACCCTAGGTGTGTCTCTAAGTGACTTATGTATGTAGAAGCAGTCCTGAACTGAGAGGCACAATCATTGCAAAAGAAAACAGGATGTCCTGTGTCCAAGTTCTTTAAAAATTTAGTTCCACCTGTCCTCCTTAACTGATACTTCACATTGGCCAGCCAGTGGCTGATTGTGGTCATGGAAAGACCAGTAAACTTAGAGATGTGTACCCGCTCTTGCGGACCTAGGTCCGACATAATGTATTTGCCTTCTGGGGTCTCCCTCAAGCTGGAAGCAAACTGGGCTTGAAGGATCAGAAGATGCTGAGGGTTCCAGTTGGACTGTCGTCCCTTCCTCTTGTGTACCGGTGACAGTTCGTCCAGAGCTTCCTCAAAACTGCTCCCGTCAGCATCAGACTTCTCTGACACGGTAGACGGAGTTGAAGACTTGGGTGTCAAACGCCCCGTGAGGTTCTTCACCATATCGGAAATATCCAGCAGGGCACTCTCCCTCAGCGGGGAAGAGGCAGAGTCAGCCACACTGGAAACAAGAGGTTTGTTTTTGGACTTGGTTAAATCAATAGGTTGATCACTGTTCTCATAGTAATACCGGTCAATAGCATCAGCCTGCTTGACCGGAGTGGTTGGGTAAATGGGTTTGTCCAACATGCTGTTGCTAATTTTGTACAGCATGGCCAAAGGGTCCAGAGAGGGGCTTACCGGCTTAGAAATTTTCCCTAAGTGGGTATTCATAATGGACTGTAAAGCGCTCAATGGATTAATGAAGGATGACTCAGGTGAATGATCTGTGATGATTCCTAAATTGTTACAGCCATTTGCGACCTTCGTTTTAAGGGGCTCTGTACCGTTCGGCGTATGTGCTTCTGCTGGACCGTCCTTTTTGACCTTCTGAACTTCTGTCTCGGAGCTCTTCTTCTGCTGCTGTTTGCTATTTATTTCTTCTGCTTTTGGGAAGTCCTTGTTTTCCTTAGCAGCAGGTGACATGGGTTTGACTGGAGAACTCTTCTCTTTCTCCAAAGGCTTTTCTTCCTTCTTCACGTTGATTTTACCTGTAACTTTCTCCACTAGTTCTTCCATAGCAGACACATTGCTCTTGTGAGGTGGGGGTGTGAGATTGCCCGGGGAATGGATGAGCGCATTGTGTTCTGACGACAGTGACTTTACACTGCTCGCGTAAGACGGCTGCATTTGAACGCTCTGCACCGCGGGCTGAAGGGGTTTGACTGTTCCCGGGAGCTGGTAAGCTGCATGAATACTGGGATATCCTCCCCAGGAAGGGGCTCCATTCTGAGCTTTGCTGATAGCTGTTGTCACCGTGTTCTCCAGGGATTTCAATATGTCTATTCCCCCTTTAGGACTGTCGTCTAGGTCCTCCTCTCTGAGGTACTGATACAAAGTTGTTGGCTCAAATTTCTCTGTAGAGTCCTCATTCTCTTCTTTAATCTTTTTCTCTGTTTCACTGACCACCACCTTTTCCTTCTCTAGGTCTTTCTTCTCCTCCGAGTTTGTGGAGCCCGCTGGGGAATCAGGCTGCTTTTTAATGTTGGAGGCTGGTAGCCTTGTGTGGGTGGTGGGTGGAAGAGGTATAGACTGTATCTTCTCCTCCACCACAGGGTCCAATACCAGCTGTTTGCCTTTTTTGGAAGCAGAATTGGTCACCTTCAAGAAATGACCAGTGACCATCATGTGAGCAGTGAGCTGCTGCAAAGTGTCATGGGAACTGCCACATTCCATGCATTTCAGGATTTGGGCTTTGCGTGCCTCAAACTGCCAAGTGTAGCTAGCACCATTTTGATAGCCATAGCGGTTGTTTGGAGTCACGTAGGGGTTAGCAGTTTTCTGATCCTTTGCAGACTCACCCAGCGAAGCTTCTGCAGTGATCCCCGCTGGCTCAGGTGAACAAGGTGAAGCTAAGTCCTGAAGTGCTCGCTTTTTGGTAGAAGGGACCAATTTAGTGATGGCTGGTACTGGCTCCTTCAGAGGCACTTTCTGGTAATGCTTTGTTTTTATCATATGGACGCTGAGGTCTTGCAAAGACTCAAACGAATGCCCACAGTACATGCACTTCAGCACTTTTTGGGCATCCTCTTTGCCTTCCATTTCCATAAGTGATCGTTTTCTAGGTTTTGACCACCGTTTGGTCTTATCAGCTTCTTTATCTCTGTTGTCGTCACGGTAATGTCCAGTTTCATTCATGTGCACTGTTAGTTCCACCAGTGTGTCATAGGCTGCACTGCAGTCTTTGCATCGGAACTTGCTAGCACCGGTGAACACAGACCCATAAAGTTTATTGTTTTGCCGGTAAAGCTGTACTGTGCTGAAAAGACTAGGCTCTGGGAGAAGTCCGTACGATGAGGTCTGCTGCAAAGTTTTAGCTAATGCAGCCTGGTGCCAGTCATAACCTGAGCCACCACTGTTGCTATTACTGTTACTAGTATTACTGGTAGTTGTACTGGTACTAGTGTTGGTACTGGTAGTACTAGTACTCTGGGAACTGGCATTGGTGTCAGTACTGGTGGTGGTTTCATTCTGGCTGATTCCGTTGTTGCTGGTGGTTGGATTGGATTTCTTTAAGTCCAAAGCTAAACTGGACCAGCAAGTCTCTGAAAGTAAATTTGCATACACAGCTTTTATTTGTGCCAAGCTGTCCTGTGGATAGGAAACATTGTCTGTGCACTGAGGATCCTCTTTCTCTTCTTTAGAGGAAGTGCTTTTGAAATGGGCCAGTTGATCGCTGTTTTCACTAAACGGTGAACCATAGCCTGCATCCTGATTAGTTGCAGTGCTGACTGGGGAGTTCTGGTAGCTTTGAGCCTCTTTGATCTCCGCTTCTTCATTGCACAAATACTCATTCTCCTGGATGTCCAGAGACAGCCCATCATCTTCCACGCTGTCTTCATCTATTTCTGCTGCTTTCAATTCCTCCTCAGGAACATATGCTAAAATACAGGAGGGGAGACGGGGGGGGAAAAACAAGACAAAGTTATCGAACACGCACATTTTACATCGTTGCTGTCTTCTGTACTAAAAGCAGTAACCATAAAGACAAATTTTGAAGATACATCCAGACACCAAACTCACCGTCACTCACACACTCCACCTATAAATCCACGTACTCTGTCCCGGTTACAGTTTGATATCCGTGCTACCTAAGAATAAACTTTGACTTCAGCAGTAAAATATGTGCCAGGACCACAGTAGATACCATAATATCAAAACCAAATTCAAACACAGAGCCTACTAAACCAGTTTTTATCAACCTAAAAAATGGTCTGGCACTGAGCGATATTTACCACATGATGTATGTGCAAGACGTTGCAGCTGACCTGCACCCCTCTAGACCTAAGCACTTGGAACCTCTGCCTTGACCAACTCCATCCCGTCAGCTCTGCCTTTTCTGGCAAACCAGCTTTAGCTACAGCTTCAAGGGCCGTTTCCGTGCCGCTGACACCTGACTCTAGTGGAGCTGTACGGGGCAAGTGCGTCAGGTCAGCTGTTCCACAGTCTCCTGGTGCTTGGCTGTACCGGGTTCATCAGAGAGCAGAGCAGCTTTCATTCTTACAAGGCGAAAAGAGAAGGAAGACTATGACTGTTTTCTGAAATGGCTAGGATATATTTTGCCTCCTGTTACGATCTGATGTGGATCCTACATTTACCATTTTGAAAACAGCAGTCAGAAACTACATGTTAGAGATGAATTTTTAAACGCAACAAACAAAAAACTTGAGACCTCCATCCCAGCTTGATTATTGGCTTTGCTATTTTAAATATAAAACTTTGCCATTGTATCGCTACCTGGTGAAACTATATAATCTTACCAAACTATGTGTTTATCTATATCAACCTATTTTTTAAACTAGGAAATGTGATATTCATGAGCAGATGGCCATTACATCAGAACACATTTACTCCAAGGGCCCAATTCACAGAAGTGGCTTACATGTACCTAAGTGATAAATGTACACTTTCATTGCAAAGCAGAAAACATACTTGTACACATTTCCCTCCAGTTTTGTAAAAGAAGATTAAAAAAATCCCAATGATAACGAAATGTAGATCATTTATAAGCATGTCAAGGTAGAAAACATGGATTGTGAACAATTCTCAGCAATCGAATAAACAAATGCCTCCTTGTCAGGTGAACCGTGCAGCAAGTGATGCTTAAATGTGGCCTATGTCCTTCCATGGTACAATACTGAAAGCAAGCCAGAAAAAGAGGCACTTCTGCTCCTAGGTGGTATGAAGAAAATACGTATGATTATGTTAACAAAGCTCAGGTCTCCTTCAGTTGGTGGGAGCAAAAGCACAAGTTGAGCTTCTTTTTGTACATAGTTGCTAACACATTCTGAAACTTCTTTTCTGAAAAATAAAAAGAATCTTCTTTCATTGTAATATGAACACTCTTTGAAACACCTTTATTTTGGTTTTTTTTAAGAAAAGTAACAGTATTATGGCCAGTACTGCATTCTGTATTCACCTTTGCAATTCAGTCCCTAACTACTTCAGTCTGATCTTTTAAGACAAAGTGGGAAAGCAGTCTGTCTAGTACTGGGGTAGTGCTGACCCTCAAGATGCCCACTATATCTTTCATCTGCCTTCTAGGTGTCAAATTTTTTCAGAAGATAAATTGATCTTTTGGTTTTTAAAAAAGTGTTTAGCAGGGCCCAATTCCTCATGGGTACGTCAGCCTCAGGTGTTTCCTAGTATGTTTAAAAGGACTGGTGAGTACCAAGCACAACAGTAGTTACTACAGAAATCATCCTGGAGCCAAAGGCCAGGAAGATATCAGAAAAGCATCATAAAACCAGAAAAAAAAAATTCTTAAAAATGCATTTAGTCCATAAAACCAAGAATAAAATACAGAAATAGTAAAAGAACTAAGAAGTCAGTCAGCTTCCCCGTCTTGCAGTAATGCTGCTGTTAAAACACTCTGCAGGTATTGGAGCACGGTAGTACCTCTGCAGCTCTGAACTCTAGGTATGCAGGTAGAATTCGCTTCCACAGCTGCAGTCTAAAATCTCCTGGCTCTCTCATTAAACACACCTGTTTTCAGTCATTTCTAACAGCAAAAACCAATACATTTTTTAAGTTTCTGAAAAAGTAAAGAAGAGTTATGGAAGAATATGGCTTCTGATTCCAACATTACTTTTAAATAAAAAATAAAAAAAACTCTGAGGCCTAAAATGCATAAAAATTCATAGTTACCATCTGGCATTTTTATTTAAAAAAAACCAAAACAAAACAACAAAACTTAGTAATGATCAGCAGACAGTCACCAAGTAGAAGCTGAAAACTGAGGGAGCCCACATCCTGAGCTTTTATGAACAGCTATCTTCTTACTAACCTCTGTGGAACTATGCCAATTTTCTCTAATCTTCACATCCCAATATTGTTAATAAATAGATGCAAGAAACTGTCATAAGATGCTGAATGTTGCTGTAGTTGATACAGTATTTTGTAAGAACCCATGTGAATTATCTGCTTACATCTCCTTACTTAATTCTAAATTGCATAAATATATATTTTTATAATTGCTGCATATAATCTGCCAAATATCTGCTTAAGTAGAAACTCTCCTTGAGCCACTGCCCTCTCTTTTATTTTCCTTTATTTATGACGGCGTGTTTTCTCTATTCTCATACTTTTGCACTTTATCGTAAAAATCAAAGGAGCTAAACCACACAAGAAACGTTAAAACTACATGAAAGGTTGGTGTTAAACTGTCAAAGCAAAGAAACTGAGTGTTAAGGTGAAATATCCATCTTTCACTTACTTTCCTAGTCTCGGGTTCTGCTGAGACTACTACATGATTGAGTTCACTTCATTACCAACACATACTGCAACAGAAGAGTTAAGAATGAACGACTGGCCAGGACACTGATTTTCTACAATTTCAGAATTTAAGCCAGATTCTAAAAAACCCTGAATTTACATGATGTGTACGCCCACACGTCTGTACGGTTCTCTGAAATAACACAAAGAAGTAATACTTCTTAACCAAAAAGACAGTAATTTATCCAAAATGTTTGATTTCTATCACCGCAATCAAAAAGATTTTATTTAACTCCTTTAGTTACCATAGGATACACACAATACCTTTTCATTCAAGACTACTAATGTTTATAAGATGAATAGCAGCACACTCAACATATGGTATTTTGCAAGGTCAGTGCAATTCTCTTAACTGAAAAGGTTTCTGTTAGAGCTAATTCAGAAGGATACAGAATGAAGAATGTTAATTTCTAGAAAGATGTATGTTTTACTAAAATTCTCACAGAAATTTGACAAATAAGCAAGCTTCAGAATTTTAAACACAGCAAAATATTCCTATTACAATTACTTGCAGAGACAAGTAATATTATTCTACGTCAAACAGAAGCGTGAGATGTTCAGATTCTCCCCCTAAATTATAATAGGTAGATCAACAGACAGATTTCAGACAGCGTATCTTTCTGTGACCGAGAAACTCTCAGCAATCTTCTCCAGATATTCTTGCATCTGCAAAGACACTGCTGGTTTACACATGTCCTGAAACCACACAAAAATACCAAGAGCAGATATAAGCAGTGACCCTCCTCAGCAAAAACTATATCCAAAGCAGAAGAAATTACAGAACATAACGTCAGCTTTTCTTTTCCTTCTCATTTGTGCATGCACAGATTCAGGCAAACGCACGGTGGAAAAAGGGGAAAAAGCTTCAAATTTCAGACAACTAAAAATCAAGGGGAGCAGTTTGTATTTCTTCTCTTCTTATTAAGTCTTGCTAATATTTTTTTGCCTATAAAATGTGCCTTCTGGATGCCAATGCTTCCCCATAGATACACTGTCATCTTTGAGCAGTGTTAAAAGCTGTGCATTCTAATCTAAGTGGACATGAGACGCTATATATTGTACATGTGAGTAGCACAGCACATTGTGTTTGCTTCAGTGAGAATATTTACACTATAAATACATATCCATTGTTTCAAAAAGCAGAGAGAGATCCGAAATGCAAGGATGTGGCTAAAAATATAAATATTCTCACATAAAGCCTTTCCGTAACCTCAGACTGGTGCTTTTGAAAGAATCTGTCTCTACAGAGGTATTCTTTTCCATTCAAAAAGAGATTCAGCATTGAATACATTATTTTGAAAAGGACAAAAAGTAACGATTGTATTTAACAGTCTACAAAATTAAACGTAGTAAACTCTTCAAGACTCGATTTTAAATCCTCCAAATAAATAAATTTATTCAGAAGAAACACCTAAGTATTGAAGGCCGCAATGCAGTAAAGCAATTGAAGACTGAAATAATTTTCACTGAAATACGCGTTTCATAGTTTCAACAAATAGGGATGGGTTTAAGGGTAAAATTCTTCCCTAAATCAGGGTCCACTCTGGGACTAAACAATAGTGGCACAATGTGAACGTTCACCATTCTTCAACAGACGTGTTTCCACAGCTTCTAATATTTACCCAGCCAAGAGGAGACAGCAGCTGCAGAAGTTTTCACAGCCCACACTGTCACCTTGCACAAACTGCACTCTAGGTCTGGGGGGGACTTCCACTGCACACAAGAACACATTTTACATCTTGAGCAAAAAAGCACAGCTAGAAAAGACAATCTATAGCCACACATCTCCCTTGTTACGGAAAAAATCAGGGAGAGGAAAAAAACCATTTACAGATACGTTTCCAGACTAGAGAGTCATAAGAGTTTTACAAAAGAATCCAAAATCTCACATTGTGAGAGGTTAACATGCCTGCTGGAAGATTTGCGAATTTTCTATATTAGTATATACAAATGTTCACACAAAATTCTGGCACAGATGCTACAAATCTGTGTGTGTGTCTGTATTACAATGTCACCACAGTGGAAAAATATGGCTTAGTTATGACAATAGCTGAGGAGCAGCACAGACTATCAGACAACCAAATAACCTTACTACAGTGGTTTGTGTCTTTCATTTCTAATTGCAGCAAAATGCAGGGCAAAATACTAGAACTGCCTACTTTCTAATT